AAAACGCATTAAATGGTTATATTCCCATATCTTTTACACAATCAGTTTATTGACTCTCGGCGGGAGAGGAGTGCGTGGGTGACGTCACAAACACAGTTCATAGTTCAAGCATGGATTTCATGGTTCAAGTAATCTACACATCGTATGGTATGCGGGACAGAGGAAGTGTCAATACCTAGTATAATGTTGGTGGGCGGATGTACAGACCGATTATTGTATCCCGCCGAAATTAAAAAGCCTGGGCACTTCCGGTGATTACATTTCTACCACTCGCATTTCCATTAGAAAACCTGTATTGCATGTGCTGACAAACGGGTCTGGAATGGGTTGCTTTATTGAGCCTGTTTATTTACAATTTCAACATTAATTGTGAAAAGTGGTATATTGCAGAAAATAACCATTAACAACCAGTTTACGTGTAGTAATTTCCTAAAATCGCTAAAAAGACATTGTTCAAGCTCTGAAACTATCTTTTCAGTCATCGGTGAGGGCGTAATAAATACTCGGATGAATGGTGATCGGTGTCTGGATCGTGGTTGAATTAAATTACTATTACCTTCCATGCTACTATACAATATCGTACGCACCCAAATAGAATCACGTGGCAATATTTCTATATTCGGACCTACATTCAATATTAAATACTGTAGTTAACTGGTATTGAAATGCGCCTGTATGTTCTTCTAGTGCAACCAAGAAAACAAATCAGCAAAACGATGAAATCCTCAACTTCCGAACATTACTTTCGGTGATTACTTTCCTCAAGAGAAAATTGATTTCTTTGAATCAGCGTGTATGTTTTGTTTATATTTATCAATGTTATGTTTTGCTTAGAAAATTCAGTAAAAAGCACTATCTACATCCGTAAGTTTCAAATGAAATAACTGAATAGAAATTCGCATTGTTTTCTTGTTAATTACGGTGCACTGCGATATAAATCCCAGTGAATAAATAAGTACATATGCATATCTATAATACAAATATTGACACACGGCGACATACCAGCGCGTTGGTGACGTCACGCAAATTGTCTATATTTTATGGTTCAATCAAAGTACATATGGCGTACAAATGCCGCAGAGGAAATGATAATACAGTACCAGGGAACTACCATGCATGGTTGTACACAATCTCCCAACAATGAGTTAATAATGCGATGAAGAAGATTGAATAAAAACTGGCACAATGTTCACGAAAGGGAAGTCACCTACGACTTTTGTGTTTACGGTTACCACAAATGGAGAAAATAATTTTGTTGAAACTTCATGCAAGTCTAATTCAGTTCCATAATTTCGTTCCAATTAATACCCCCGCCGTCATTTTAAATGGTTCAACCCTCACAAGCAGCATGATACTCGTATTACAAATGTTATAATACTACATAGCAGTGATTAATAAATCCTTGTTCATAAATTATATTTTAAATTGAAATCATTTTATACATTTTTGTTATAAATTGATTTATGCCACACCCCGTAAGGCGACAAATCAACATTCTTGTGTTGTAGGTAGGCGTTCTACGTGACAGACCGCAATGACCTCTTTATCTGGTCACAATGCATTCCTCAGCGAACAACAACCGGACGTTTCTTGTGTTGGCGAGATTAACTAGCCTGGCTGTCGTTATTTTTGTGGATAATATTTAAAAAAATTAAAAAAGTACAGTTAAGACTCTCGACTGTGACTGATGTAACAAAAGTCGCCCAGCAATCACCGAGCAATGCCACTTTGTATGTTCTGCAGAAAATCTCTCACTGAGCAAAGGGTTTTTGGATCATTGTGCCACACAGTTCAAGGCAAACCTGACCATATTTATTTTTCTCATTTTCATTTCTATTCACATTGTCTTCTTCCTTCACATTATTTATGTCTATACTGGTTTTAATTCTTCAAAACTCAATAGTTAGCTTTATGTTTTCTTCTTATAAACAACATTATTTGCTGATTATTGTTTGCCGTTGATTTTGTTGATAGAGAGACTGTGCCTCAACACTAATCGCTTTCTGGCGATCTAAATGTGACATCATAATACATGAACCTCGAACTCTCTATGTCACGGACGATCAGAATTAATGTATGGGTACCAGAAAAATAGCTAGGCTTTGTAGCTGCTTCTGGTACACGTCATCGTTATTTATATTCGATACAGTTAAATCAAAGATAGTGTCTTCGGTTGAATCATGGAGGCAGCTCCATGGTCGAATGGACAAAACAAGGATGTTTATCTCTGGTTCATTATTCAGGGGAAACCCTATTTTTTACAATACATATTTGTTTCATGTGTCCAATTTCCTTACCAATTACAGTTCCGGATTACAACAATCTTATTTCTGGGTTTAGGTTCAAATACAGAGGAAGAACTACATAACTTTCTCAAAAATCCATTTTTTTGCAGAAATATCAAAACTTCATATTGTAGTAAATACACAATCACGCACACTCACTGATTGGGTTAAATTCACAGCTCACATTACAACAGTTCCATCGATCTCTGTTTCATGCTCATTGTTCTAATCATGGTGTTTATTTCTGGTGGAGGACAGTTTTCATCTAACATCCATTCTCAGCATTTTCTCGCGAATACTTTTTTGTCGATATTTACTAGGAAAGTACTCTTTCTTTGTCGATATTTACTAGGAAAGTACTCTTTCTTTGTGCTGAACTGTCCATGTTTCTTTGTTTAAAACAATACCCGTTTATGATTAAAGTCGTTATCTGCAGTTCCTAGTAAGCGGATTGTGTTTTAGAAGTAGTTTGTTCTCACATGATGATCCAACTTTCCACTCACTATTTAAAGGCCCAATTCACTTGCCCTGGGCAAGTGTGAATTGGAGGTGTGGCTATTCTAATGCATGGTCTTAATCACTTGCATAGCCTATGACACATCCTGTTTCAGCGGTCCAATATCACGTGACTTTGATTGACAGTAGTAATTATTCAAGATGAGTCGCGCATCCCTTTCCCCGGTTCATGTTTTTTACTTTTATCCGCCAAAATCTCAGCTCGTACACTATTTATTGTCATAAATACTACACACAGTCACTGCTGTGATATTCATAGTCACATGCATCCACTTTGGCACGACATAATAGACATGTAAGTTCGAGAAAACGCGTTTTTACTGGAGCTTGGCTGGAGCTGTTTACTACAGCAGGACAAGCAAGGAAATAATCCCTGTTGTTTCGGAGCGTATTTAAAGTATACCTGGGCCTTTAAACATTCAGGATTCTGCCCAGCTTGATTTAAGTGCCGGTCGCTAATTAATATTCATGAGCTCATTAATATTCATGAGCTAATTAATATTCATTTTCCATTCTACTAGCTACGAATTAATTAACTACTTTAATTATTTCAACTTTTATTTATTTCAAATATTTCAATGTTACATTGGGCAATTTTTTGAGCAGCAACACCCAGGATTTGATTCAGCGATTTCCATTGAGCTAAGTAAGTGATTTCAGATGGAATGTATCATGTAGTACATACGTCAGCTGTGATAATTACAGGTCATTCGTCCACTGTCCTATACAAAAGAGTTCCCACACTGTGACACACACAACTCTCAATGGGGCACCAAAAAATTAAAATTTGTTAAATTCACAATATAACTTTATTGGAGTACTCCTCTGCCGCTATCATTAAACTTTTTTTGGGCCTCAGTCAGGTAAGAGTCCTACCAGACCTCAGCCACCAACCTGTCTGTTCATTACCGACAGTGTTCTCATCGTTATACTCTAAAGGATACTGTAAAGGGGGTAATTATTCACTGTGTTTTAATTTGGCTTATTTCGCTGACTGGAAAAATGCGCTAAATTGAAACACAGTGAATATGTAAAATTTAGCATAGAACACATTATCTAAATGACGAAACTGTGAATTTAAAACCCACTGAATATGCCTGAAATGGTAAATCAGTGAAATTTAAACCCAGTGAAAATTAGTCATTTTACAGTATACTGCTATCACCTCTACAAGTATATGGTAAAATAGTTCAGTAGTGAAGTCACTCATATATACTCTCACTGAAGTAAGAGGCTCT